AGATTCCCAGGAGAATAAAGCCTAACTGTGAGAGGGGCTGGAGCAGTGACTCCATGGTTGAGACACTTGCTACTCTTACAGAGGACCCTGGTTCGGTTCCCAGCACCCACATGGTGGTCAACAACTGTCTTTAACTCCAGTTTCAGGGTATCTGATGCTCACTAGACATGCATGTGGTGTACAAACATGCTTGCAGGCCAAACACTCAGACACATAAAATAGAAATAAGTAAATCTTTTATTAAATTATTTATTTAATAACCACATAATTAGAAGAATCATTTCATTATAACAGCATTGACATATTCAATAACAATTTCCAGAGCTAAGATGCATCCCCTTTAAGACATAAAATTAAGTGAAGGTTTAACCTTTAAAAAAGATCTCCATTTCATTATTAAAATACACTGTTTCATACAGAAAAACTCATATTTGATGCAACTAACACTTAGATATTTGCATGTGTGTCTCTAATCTCTATATATCTGATTATTACTAGTCACAGTCATTTACTTTCTGAGATCCTTGGCACTTGAGCATGGATATAAAGTCATCAGGTAGATTTCAATGGTAATGTTTTTCACCCCTACTAATTAACATGAAGCAAAGTTTTATGCTTCTACCTCAAATATAACTCATTTTTATTGATTTGTGTGTGTGTGTTTATTTCATACAGAATATCCCAAACAATCTTTCTCATCTATATACCTACATTCCAAGTGACACCCTCCCATGCCCCCCCACCCCTTGCTGGAGCCCATATACTGTCATCCTGGTTACTGTCCACTGTGTTGTCAGTGTCCCCAGCCATTCCCCAGTGCTTGTCATCTGCTAAGTCTAGTCAGCCTATCTGGAGTTCCTTGGGTTTTTTTTTTTTTTTTTTTTTTTTTTTTTCTGTCTTTTTGAGACAGGGTCTCCCTGTAGCCCCAGCTGTCCTGGAACTCACTATGTAGACCAGGCTGGCCTTGAACTCACAGAGATCCACCTGCCTCTGCCTCCTGAGTGTTGGGATTAAAGGCTTGAGCCAAACCATGCCTGGCCTGTAGAGTTCCTTGTTTTCCGATCAGCTCTTCCTCATTTGGCAGCAAGCTGTTGCCAATATTCCTTTAGATAAGCTTGGGGTCTGTTGTTCATTTTCCCAGTTCTATGCTGGAAGTCTCTTGGGCCACCCTGGCCAACAACTCAAAAGAAGGTATCTCCTGTCTGGCATTGTTTCTTATTAGGTAGCCTTTAGCTATACACATGGACTTTTTAAGAATTATATTGATCCCTTTAATCTTTGGTTATACTTTCATTTTGGGTGTTTAAGACCATGTAGTTGGTCCAGGTAGACCAATTTATTTTTACTCTTAAGGTTGAGGATCTGTTCCTCAGGGGTCACATGGGCTTAGGAGGAGCCCCTGGCTCTGTTCCTCTACCAGTTCCGTCTACGTGAAGGTAAGTCAAAGGTCTTACTCGACCATGGCTGGCTTCATTTGGAAGCATGGAGGAAATGATCCCTCTGTGTTGACCCTCCTCTTTGTAGACTGGACACTGGTTCAAGTCCATCTGGTAGAGTCTCCATGGCCTCCTTGATCAAGAGGACAGGTGATTCATCACAGTTACAGGACATTTTGAGAGATGCTCCATAGTCCCCTGGAACTAGTCGACCTAGGAGGGCAAGGAGCAAAAACTGTCCTTTATGTCCCTCTGACCAAATTAGTATAGGCCTCAAAGTATGGCTGTTAAACATCCAAGAAGATTAGTTCCACCAGTCTGGTACTTTTAATTACCATGTGGTATGTAGATAAAGCTTGGGCAAACACATAAAATAGAAATAAGTAAATCTTTTTTTTTTTTTTTTTAAAGCATACATGAGAGCATGGGGGTGTGATCTTTTGATCTTTTTTTTGGAGACAGGGTCTCCCTTTAGCCCCAGCTGGCCTGGAACTCACTATGCAGACCAGGCTAGCCTCAAACTCACAGAGATCCATCTGCCTCCAAAGTGCTGGATTAAAGGCACAAGCTGGGCTTAGGTGTGAGCTTCTTGAACAATAGTCACACTTCAAGTGTCCTTTACAGGTTTGGGGAATTTTATTGTGCAGTAGATTTCTTTCTTTTTTTAAAAAATTTGTTTTTATTGAATTTTTGTGTATTTTATACAGAATATCTCAATCTTTATTATCTTTATACCCTTGTCCCTACCGGCATACTCCCACGCACCCCCCCCCCGTCTTAGTTTGTTTCTCCATTGCTGTGACAAAACACTCTGACCAATACCAATTTGGGGAGGAAAGAGTTTATTCAGCTTACAACTCCTAGGTTGCAGTTCATCAGGGAGTCCAAGGTAGGAACTCAGGGCAGGAGCCTGGAGGCAGGAGCTGGAGCACAGGCCATGGAGGAATGCCGCTTACTGACTTGCTCCCCTGGCCCCTGCTCAGCTTGCTCTCTTATCCAACACAGGCCCACCTGCCCAGGGGTGGCACTATCCACAGTGGGCTGGGCCCTCCCACATCACTCAACAATCAAGAAAATGCCCCACAGACATGGCCACAGGCCAGTCCAATGTAGGCAATTCCCTAATTGAGGCTCCCTCAACCCAAGTGTGTTAAGTTGACACTAAAGGTATCTAGCACACCCCCCCACTGGAACCCATATAATCTGTCATCCATATTAAGGCCCAATGTATCAAATCAGTGTCCCCAGATGTTCCCCTGTGCAAGTCCATCCACTGAGGTCTAGTCAGCCTATCTAGAGTCCCTCCCTTTAAGAGGCTAAGTTCTTCGTCACCCAGCAGTAATCAGCTGCCAATAATTCTTCGACTAAGACTGGGGTCTTGTGCAGCACATTTCTAAGGAAACTTTCCTCTGTTCTCTTCTTAGATAGTTGAGATTACAGAGTGGCACTTGGAGGTACTTTGGATGGGATTACAATCTAATAAAATAAAACCAGCAACTATTGGTTTATACAAGAAATTTAGGGCATGGCTTTTCCCATAAATGGGGTTTCTTGTGAGACTCCTAGAAAATTGTGTCTGTAGCTGGGAAGGAAGAAAGGTCTTAAGCAGCTAATTGTGTTGGAATTCTTGCTTTATCTGCTGGTTGAAGGCTTCTCGAGTAAGGCACTCCTTTTCCTTTTCTGGTCCATATTTTTCCCTTACTTTCTGTGTAGCCTTTTTATTAATTTTTTCTCTGCTTTCTGGATTGTAAGTCATAGAGGTTTTTGTAGGTGGTTCTTTGATCTTGGTATAAAGAATGAAAAACCAACGTAGTTTTATCTTTTTCCACATATTTAGTTATATCAGTACTGTGTACTGAAGAGTCAGTAAATCTTTTTTTTCCTTTAAAGATTTTTTTTCAATTTTAATTTATATGTATGGTATATGTGGGTGCCTGTAGAAAAGGGTATCAGATCCCTTAGAGCTGGAGTTGCAGGCAGTTGTGAACTGGGCACTTGAACTCAAGTCCTCTGGAAGAAGAGTAAGTGATCTTAACTCCTGAGCCGTCCCTCTAGCCCCAAAGTCTTATCTTTTCCTTACTAATATAAGATGCCACTCCAGCTCCAGGGGAATCAGACAACTTCATGCCTCCATGGGTACCTGCACTCACACACAATTTAAAATGAAATAAATCTTTTAAAAATAAAGATGCCACTTACCTTGTATACTGAGTTTCCACATGCACTTTTATAGGTAGATTATTAAGACTGCTCTAGGTAGGGGCTGGAGAGATGGCTCAGCGGTTAAGAAAACTGGCTGTTCTTGCAGAAGACCTGGGTTTGAAGCCTAGCACCCATATGGCAGCTAACAACTGTACGTAACTCCAGTTCCACAGGATCCGACAGCCTCTCTGTCCTTTGCGGGCATTGCACGACACAAGTGCACTTACCTACATGCAGACAATATACACATATATATATATATAAATAATAAATAAATAAAAATATTAAAAATATATATACAGAGAGAGAGAAAGAGAGACTGCTCTGGGTAGTCACAAAGCAGGATGAAAGGTGGGATTTCGAGGGAGGGGTAAATAATAGTGATTTTTTGAGACCTTGGAAAAAAATTTTTCTCAGAGGACTTAGAATTTATTTATTTACTTAATTAGTGTGGAGAGGCATGCGCTGCCACAGCACACAAGTGGAAGTCAGTTCTCTCCTTCCACCTTTATGTGTGTTCCAGGGTTCAAACTCAGATTGTCAGGCTTGAGTGGCAAATTCTTTACCTGTTCAACCACATTACTGGCATTCTCAGAGAACTTTTAATGCTTAAGATCTTTCTAAAGATTGACTGTGAAAGTCAAACAAAAACTAGCATAGAACTGGGGAAATGGGCAGGAGGCTACAACTTTATTGAGGAACTATTGGCAGCTGATCACTGCTGGGTGAGGGAGAGTTGAACTTTAAGGGAGTGACACCAGACAGGGCTGAACAGGCTCCAATGGATGAACTCACCCCAAGACACCTAGATATACAAACTTGATTGAATAGGCTTAACATATATGACAAAATGCATGAAGTCTTCTGCAGGGAGGGGGGGCAGTGAAAATAGGGGAGACTAAATATGATTAAGATGTATTATATGAAATCCACAAAAATTCAGTAAACTATCTTTTAAAAACTGATAGCTGGGCATGGTGGCCCACGCCGTTAGTCCCAGCACTCCAGAGGCAGAGACAGGCAGATCTCTGAGATCAAGGCCAGCATGGTCTACATAGTGAGTTCCAGGCCAGTTGGGGCTATAAGGAGACCTTGTCTCAAAAAAAGAAAAAAAAAATGTTTATCATGAGCGGGTATGAAATCCAACCTGTAATCCCAGTACTTGGGAGGCAGAGACAGGAGGATTGCCACAAATTCCAGGCCAGCCCAGTCTACGTAACGGGTTCCAGACCAGCAAGGGCTACATAGTAACATTTTTTTTTCTCAAAAACTTCAGAAACAACACCATCATTAAAAAAAAAAATTGCTATTACGTTTCTTATATGAATTTTCAGTAAACTCCTTCTCTTTTTCTTCTCTTAGCACCATGTATGTGTTTGGTGGTTTCAACAGTCTCCTCCTCAGTGACGTCTTAGTGTTTACCTCGGAGCAGTGTGAGGCGCACCTGAGTGAAGCCGCTTGTGTGGCAGCAGGACCTGGTATCCGGTGTCTGTGGGACTCGGGGTCATCGCAGTGCACCTCCTGGGAGCTGACAACTGAAGAACAAGCAGAACAGTTAAAATCGGAATGCTTTTCCAGAAGAAGTATGTTTTTTCTCTACTTAGAGTTTAAAGATCTAATTGTATCTGAATTACGAAAGAACTTGGTTGCTGTACTCTGCTTATATTCACCTTATTCTCTGCAATCATTTACTAATAAATTGTGCGAAGACTTTTTGGGTGAAAGTCATGTGGTTCCTAGAACCTCTCAGCAAGTGATACAGATAAAATCTTCCTGACAGTGGGTAGCCTTTGTATGCCAACTCCATTCCTGGCTGCAGTTGGTCTGAGGCAGTGTTGTTCAGTAAAACTTTGTTTTCTTTTTTTTTTTTTTTTTTGAGACAGGGTCACACTTAATAGCTCAAACTAACCTCAAACTTGTGGTCTTCCTGCCTCAGCCTCCCCTGTGCAGGCATTATAGGAACATACTCCAACCCTGGCTGTGAAATTTTTTGATGATGGAAATGTTATATATCAGCTAGGTAGCCACTAGCCATCTGGGGCTATCTGACGTGTGAAATGTGGCAAGTGTAACTAAGGAACTGATTGCTTTATTTTCTTTCATTTTACTTAAAAAATATATGTTGTGTGCCAAGTATAGTAGCACTTGCCTGTAATCCAAACATTCAGGAGGCTGAGGCTTAATCATGAGTTAATCAGCCTAAGTTCCACAGTGAGTTCTGGGCCAGCCTAACTTATGTAATGAGACTGTCTCAAAAGCCAAAAACATCAGCAGAACTGCATGTGGCTCTTGGCTACCGTATTGAATGAGAATAGGAGGCCAACCCAGGAAAGTCATGTATAGCAAATTGTTCTGGTGGGTGGAACCAGAGCTGCTGTCCTTAGCTCTGTAGTTGGATACAGCAGTGATAGCATGACAGACATGTTCACCCTGCTTCCAGAGCCTCCAAGCTCTTTTCATTCTGTCAACTTAGCTTCTTCCTCTTTTGCCCTGAACATCACTTCACCAACTCAGTGAGGAAAAGTGTGAGAAAATCCTTTAGCAGCAAGAATGCTTCTCCAAGATATTTATTCATATCGTTTTAAAGTATGTTGACTAAATTCCTTAACTAGTAAAACTGATGCTGCGTTTACTATGAGAGTTATATCAGAAAGAGGTGCTTTAGGTTTCTTGATATGTGCCAGATTAAGCTGGGCAAGATACATAAAAGTTCCAGGTTCATTGATGGAAAACAGGTCATCAGCACTTGGTAGGATTATAGCTCTCCTGAAAGGGTTAAAAACAGTTGGAATAGTTATTTTCAACCAATTTTTAAATTTTAATTAATTTTTATTTTATGTGTATGAGTATTTTACCTGCATGCATTTAATGCCCCGTGGAGGCCAGAGAGGGCATTGGATCCCCTGGAGCTGGAGTTAAGGACGATTGCTGGGAACTTCTGCAAGAACAGCCAGCACTCCTGACTGCTGAGCCATCTCTCTAGGCCCTTCAAGTAGTTTTTAAAGTTCAGATTAGATTAAATATGCAAATATATTGGAAGTAATACTGAATTGCCTTAGATGGTTCAATATGAGTCTGTTTTCTATCATCTTATTTTCTGTGTACCCTAATTCTTGTGATAAACAGGGTAGGGATAGCACCCTAAGGCTCAGGCTGCCAAGGAGAGACTTCATGAAGTTAGGCTCTTGGCCCTCCCTTTTTCTGTTTGTTCCACCATATTTCACATCCATGAATTGGTTTAGCAGATGGGGCAGTATGGTTTTGCAGCTTCTCTTTTATAAGGTAAATAGAGAGTACAACAGGTCTGCAATAGCACAAAAGTTCTGTAACTCACATTCTTGAATCCACGTGTGTGTGTGTAGAGTGCACTTAGCAAATGCCTCCTACTGTAGGTTTGTCAGTACCAACATTTGTGCCATATTAGCCTTGCATTTGTTGCTAGGAGCAGTGCCTTAATCTTCTGTGTTTCTTTGGCTTCTGGGCAGCTTCTGGTGTTTATTCTATTGCTACTTGACCTTTGTCCTGGAAGGAGAAGCTCCGGGTCTTTATTATATCTTAGAGTAGTTATAAATTAACTTATCTTCGCTTTTCACTTTATATACTTTTTTTGGAGGGGGGAGGCCAAGGAAGTGTTTTTCAGATTGTCTGTTTAGATCTAAGTTTTATTTTAACTGGAACATGCCAACATGTTTTCTTTCCAGTTTCACTTCACATTTTACTTCCCAGCCATTGTTGGGAGCTTTTTACCAGTCTCATTCTACTTAACAAAGGCTATCACAGCTAATGAGTTTTTCTTCTCTTCATAGCCCTTGATCATGACAGATGTGACCAGCACACAGATTGTTACAGCTGCACAGCCAATACCAACGACTGCCACTGGTGCAATGATCACTGTGTCCCTATGAACCACAGCTGCACAGAGGGCCAGGTAAGGCACTGTTTTTCAGGGATCTCAGAGGACAGAAAAAATACTGTTGAGTTTAGGTATAATCATAAATAATGACCAAAGTTAATTTTAAAATGCATTGTAGATTTGAATTTTACTATTGCTCAGGTTTTCTCTTAGAAAGGGATACTGTATACATCCTGATTCCAAAGGTCTCACTGGCTACTGGGGTTTATGTATAGTGTTTTGCAGATGCCTTTGTCATGTTTTATCTTGACTCAGCATTGTTATCAGTGCTCACCATATATGACTTTAAATTTAGGTTATAATAAGCAGGCTAAATAAGATAAGATGATCCAACTTTTAGGGGCTAGAGAGATAGCTCAGCAGTTAAGAACACTGGTTGTTCTTGCAGAGCTGGGTTCGAATCCCAACACCCACAGGACAGCTAACAACTGTCTGTAACTCCAGTCCCAGCCTCTTCTGTCCTCTATGGGCATTGCATGACATGGGTGCACTTACCTACATGCACGCAATAGACACATACACATAAAATAAAAAAAAAAAGAAAAAGTTTAAAAAAAAAAGATGATCCAGCTTTTATCGTTTTTGATGGTTTATGACCTTTTTCCCTCCCATTTTAATGCAGTCTGTAAGATAGAAAGCTTTTAAGCTGTTGGGGTGGAGGAGCAATGGGGAGGAGCATTGGAAAAGCAGCAAATTCAGCATTCACATTTTACAGATACACAGATTGAATGAGACCTGGTATTTCAAGTGGGCAGTACCTTATCATTTAGCTCACGTTAGTGCACAGAACATTCTACTATGGTGTTTCCACATGTGCATTTTGTTGATCTATCTATTTATCTGTAGTTATCTTCCTCAATCATATGTTACTGTCTTTAGGACCCTACTAACCCTCAGGTGAATTCTTTGTGTGACTATAAATAAAAGTTCTTGTTCTCTATATTCTAGATCTCCATTTCCAAGTATGATAATTGCCCCAAGGATAACCCCATGTATTACTGCAATAAGAAAACCAGCTGTAGGAGCTGTGCCCTGGACCAGAACTGCCAGTGGGAGCCCCGGAATCAGGAGTGCATTGCCTTGCCTGGTAGGCCTTGTACAGATGATACCTTGTGTGGGGATCTAAAATTTGAGCCCTCCCCAACAATACTATATAGCCTAAATTGAACCGTGTAGAGGAAGAAGTTTATTCTATCTATTTAGCACTCTTACTACTTTGGGGGTTATGTTTTATTTTAAATAAGATATGATTGTTAAGCATTTACTTCTACTGGGCTTTGAAATAAAGTGAAGGAGCATTTCCTGCTCTGGAGCCTTTTCCATTGTCGCTCCTCCCGCTGTGATAACTTGGTACTCACCTCTGCAGTCTCAGCTGCCAGGCTTCTAGGGCCTTTATAAAGAGTACTTCTCATTGACATGGGAGTTGATTGTCAGCACCTTCTGAGAAGAAAGGATTTCTGTACTAGCATCACCCCCTGAGGTGAACTTCATTCCTGACCACTTCCGTTTATGCATCTGAGGTTTAGGGTGATGATTTCAGTGCCTGGGGCCAACCAGCCATGTCTGAACCTGTATGATATATTTCCTCAACCAGAATATTCAAGAAGGGGTACTTCTGTGGCTTTCCACAACATCTAAGGCATGAGTGGGTCTGGACCCTTTGAAAGAATTTTGTATAGTTTGCAGAACAGGCTTCTTGTCCTTTGTTGTTTGTTCTGTGTCTCAAACCTTAATGCACAACAAAACATCTGAGGATCTTCCTAAAAGGCATATTCTGATACAGGCCCAGGCTAGTACTGTGGCACTTGTAATTTTAATTCACTGCTAGTGAGAAGTAAGTCTGTCTGCTCTTAAATGAGACCGTTCTAGTGTCCTTCCATTGATTTCAGCAGCTGTTCCAGTTACTTTGCATTTTTGATGGCATCTCCAGTATGCTTTGCTTCTGGGGAAGTTTCTTGGCTTGTTCACTGTCACCCTAATATCTAGAGAGCAACTATGCTTCCATGAAACACTTTGTATGGGTTCAGCCCAATCACAGGTGATTGCAAGCTTGTTTTGTGTGCTACAGCTATATCCATCTGAGGTTTTCCCTAAGAAGACACACCCCACAACCCGCTTGTTTGGCATGTCTTGTTCACTTGCTTGTACCTTCAACCTGATGATATGAAAACAGTATGGCATTGAGGCTAAATTTGTCTATTCCTCAGTTCATTTGCAGTTTTCTTTTTGTGTGTATATACATCTGTGTGCACAGGCGTGTGCATGCAGAGGCCAGAAGTTGACCTTAGGTTTATTCCTCTATCATTTGCTATACCAATTTATTTTTTTTTGAGACAAAATCTCTCACTGATTGTCTATACAGGGTGACCAGCAAGCCTCTGCTTCTCATTGCTGAAATCACAGGCAAGCACCACCACACCTGGCTTTTTATGTGTACTGAGGATCCGAACTTTCTACCCCACCCTTCCAATATTCATACTCATTTTTATGCTTTCTATTCAGGATTTAGTCTTCTTTTTCATTGTTCTTCAAAAAGAGTTGTACCAATCTTTTAACAATGCCATCAGTTTATCACAAAGATTCAAAAATGTTAGGACAGTTGGCCTCTAGAGTATGCTTTCTGAGATCCAGGAAATTGACTGACGAACCTTCTTAAAATTCTTTTATTCTGTATATGGAAGTTAGTAATGTGTCTGATACTCTCTCTAAATCCCAATGAAGCACCTAGAATTCAGTCATAAGAATGATTTTAGGGACTGGAAAGATGGCTTAGTAGTTAAGAGCACTTGCTCCTGCATGCTGGGCATGATGGCACAAATCTTTAGTCCTAGAGCAAGGTGGATCATTGTGAGATTGAGGCTAACCTAGTCTACCTAGCGAATTCTAGGCCACCTGGGGCTGCAGGGAGACCCTATCACAAAAAGGAACATTTCTGCTCTTTCAGAGGACCTGAATTTGGTTCTCAGTACCCACATCAGGTGGCTCACAACCACTTGTAACTCCAGCTTCAGGGGATCCAATATTCTCTTCTGGCCTCCAGGGGCAATTGCATTTAAGTTCATATACCCATACATAGTACACATACATACACATAAAATATTTAAAATCATTTTTTATTAATTTGAACTAGTAATGTGGTTCTGTGTAATTTCTGAACCTTTTTTTTTTTAATTCTCTTTCCCCTTTATAAAAGAAAATATCTGTGGCATTGGCTGGCATTTGGTTGGAAACTCGTGTTTAAAAATTACTACTGCTAAGGAGAATTATGACAATGCCAAATTGTCCTGTAGAAACCACAATGCTTTTTTGGCTTCTCTCACAACTCAGAAGAAGGTGGAATTTGTCCTCAAGCAGCTGCGAGTAATGCAGTCAACACAGAGCATGGTGAGTTAACATTTTCAGAACCCCGGTTTCTAACACCCCTTTCTTCTGCAGGCATGGCAGGAGCTCATATGTTGGAGTCTGTAGTTGTATGTGATGTGCTTAGCAAGAGGAAGAATTCTAGTAAAGAATTAATTATAGACAGTGGAACCACATGGCAGAGTTTCTTCTTCTAATGCCTTGTTTCTTGTCTTAAAAAGTTTTAAGATCTATAGCTGGTGTGGTGGCCCATGCCTGGAGTCCCAGCACTTGGGAGGCAGAGACAGGCAGATCTCTGTGAGTTCAAGGCCAGCCTGGTCCACATAGTGAGTTCCAGGCCAGCTGGGGCTACAGAGAGACCCTGTCTCAAAAAGACCCCCCCCCAGAGTTTTAATATTTGCATATTTTATTAGTCATGTTTATTGAATAAATTACAAGATGTGAATATATATGGAATGAATGAGAATACATATAAGTGTGTGTACATATTCTGATGGCATCAGTAGATGATTTCATATCTGTTGTATCTTTAGATTCTGCTTGGGAGAAAGGAGAATTCAAAGCTGAATAGCTAGGTTGGATTAAGCCACCTGAGTCCCTTAGATTTAAGGTATTATATTGAATTATTATGCTGTACCCAATTAAATGGATATCCACAGATCAGTTTTTCTAGCAGTGTTGGTGTAGACAGAATTGTGGTAAATGTCTGTCAAGCCAGGAAGAGTGGGGTACAGCATTTCTCTTTTGGAACTGCCTTCATGTAACAATGTGGATGTGTGACCTGAGTCCTGGCTACTTGTAGCCTCTGTATCACCTAAACAGTTGTGAGACTGACAGAAGTTTCCCTGTATTTTACTTTTCTCCAAGTACTCTTTTTTTTTTAAACAGTGCAACTTTGATGTGGTATGGGACACTAAGATATCAGTAGTTCATTCTTGGTGTGCTTACCTTAGGTAGCACAAGGGTCACATTTGGTTTTTTTTTTTTTGACTTAAAAAAATATTTTATTTATTATTTTTTAAATTATTTATTTAATAACCACATACTTAGAAGAAGCATTTCATTACATCAGCATTGACATATTCAATAACAATTTTCTGAGCTAGGGTGCATCTCTTACAAAACTGGCTATACATTTTTACGTTTACAGTTGAATTATTACAGTTATACAATATTGTATTCAGTATAAACCCTATAAGACATAAAATTAAATGAGGTTTTAACCTTTAAAAAAGATCTCCGTTTCATTTTTAAAATACAAAGTTTCATGTAGAAAACTTCATTTTTAATGCAATTGACATTAAGATGTTTGCACATGCGTTTCTAATCTCTATATATCAGATTATTACTAGTCACAGTCAGTTTCTGAGCTCCTTGGCATCTGAGCATGGATATAAAGTCATCAGGTAGATTTCAGTGATAATGTTTTTCACATCTACTAATTATTAAGGAGCAAAATTTTATGCTTTGAGAAATTATTTTTTTATCTTTTTTATAACTACATCTTTAGAAGTTTTTCACTACAGCTTTAACATATTTAATATTTAACATATTCAGTAACATACTCCAGAGCAACAGTACATCTCTTTCACAAGTGGGTGTAAGTTTCTAGTTTCACAGTTGAATTAATATAGTTATATATTATTGAACTCAGTATAAGCCCTGTAAGACATAAAATTGGATGAGTTTTTAACCTTTAAAAAAGATCTCCATTTCATTTTAGAATATATTGTTCCTTGCAGAAAGACTCATTGTTTTTGCTACTAACACTGAGATGTTGGTGCTTGCATCTCTAATCTGTATGTATCTGATTATTACTAGCCATAATCAGTTGCACTTGGATCCTTGGTGCCTCTGTATGTCTATAAAGTCATTGGGCATATTTCAGTGGTATTGTTTATCACCTCTACTAATTAGCATAATGTAAATTTCCATGCTTCCTCCTCAAATATAATACATTTTTTTAAAAATTGTTGATTGTGTGTGTGTGTATCACACAGAACATCCCAAACCATCTCATTTAACTATACACCCACTTCCCAGATAGCACCCTCCCATAGTCTCCCTCCCCCCGCTAGAGCCCTTATACTCTGATATCCCTGCTACTGCCTGCTATGCTGTTGGTACCCCCAGCCATTCCCCACTACTTGCCTTTCTGGTGAATCTAGTCAGCCTGTCTAGAGGTCTTTGTTTTAGGAGGGTCAGCTGTTCCTCATCTAGCAGTAATCAATTGTCAATATTCCTTTAAGTAAGATTGGGGCCTGCTGCCCATTTCCACAGTTCGGTGCTGTGTTTTTGTCTGCTTGAGATGCTGTGGTTCTTATTTGTTGACACCACTGCTGTAGGTTCATATGAGCAAGGTCCCAGAAGCCTGTAGGACTGTATTTCCATGTGGTCATATACTTCCTCCCTGGCTCTTGCAATCTTTTCACCTGCTTTTACACAATGTTCCCTGAGCCCTGCGATAGTGGAGTTTGATTTAGAAGTCTTGTCCAAGGACCCACACTCAGTTCCTCAGGGGTCACATGGGCTTGGGAGGAGCCCCTGGCACCTTTCTTTTACCAGTTCCACCTATAGGTATTTTTTATATATAATATTTTGATAACTTTTTCATATTTCATAATCAGCATCAGAGAATGTCTGTGTTGTTTCTCTTCTTCTCCCTCCCAAATATGAGCCTCTCCAAGCATTCTCTTCTTGGTCATCAGCTGTTCTTATTCATGATCAGGTACTTACTCATTAAACATAGAACGCGGGCCTACGTGTTGGCTTCCTGCCAAGTCCGATACCCAGCAGTCATATGGAGAACCAACTCCCGAGAATTGTCATCTGACTCCACACAAGTGCCATGACAGATGTGCATGCATGTCATGCATACTACACACACACACACACACACACACACACACACACACTCACACTCACAACACTAAATAAATAATAAAAAATTAAAATAACTCATAGCTTTGCCTTTTGCTGGAATCTATTTTTATTAACTCTCAGGTCTACCTAGGTAGAAAAGTTTAATAGTTGAGATGGCCATAAGTTTACTTCTGGTTCCTTTTCTCTCCAGGTTTTCTAGTCCTAACAAGTTCTGGGTAGTCTAGGTACTCTTATAAAATAAAAACTCAAAAAGTCTTGCTGTAAGACTGACAGATAAACCAGGCATGGTGGTGATTGCTTATAATACTGCCTTTCAGGAGGCAGAGGCAGGAGGATCAGGAGTTCAGGGCTAACGTGAGCTACATAGCAAGATTCCATCTCTAAGAACAAAAGGTGATGGATGAGACAACTAACGTGTATTGTGCTTTTGCAGCTTTAACTCTATTGAGATGGCCCATCTGCAGAATCTAGATAGGTCTGGATAAACAACTGAGGACACCCAGTCTTCCTGTAAGGCAGAAGCTGGCTGGGATTACTAAAAAGAGGTAACCCTGAAAATAGGAAGGAGTGAATTGGAAAGATGAAGAGGGACAGGCTTGTGCATTGATACCTCATGTGTAAGACCTAGAGACTGAGGGAATGGCTCACTCAATGAGCTGCAAGTAAGTTTGCATGTCTGGCTCCAAGCTCAATGGGAAGGAATTGCTACAACTAGGGATACAAAGACCAAACCTAGCAAGGCCTTGTCCACAGTACTAATAGCCTGAATTTTATTTTGAAAGCAAAAAGAAATTATTGAAGGTTTTTTTAAGGTATTAATTTTAATGACCTTTCTTTTAAAAATAATATATATTTCAAAGGAAATTTAGAAAATAATAAAGATAAAATAATATCATTAATGTAACTAAAATTCTGTGGGATGTATTTAAGTCTTTTTAAAAAAATTTTAATAACATGATTAGAAGAAGCATTTCACTACAGCTTTGATATATTCAGTAACACACTCCAGAGCAAGAGTACATTTCTTTCACAAGTAGGTGCAAGTTTCTAGGTTCACAGTTGAGTTAATACAGTTATACAATATTGACTCAGCATAAGCCCTGTAAGACATAAAATTGAATGAGTTTTTTAACCTTTAAAAAAGATCTCCATTTCATTTTAGAATATATTGTTCCTTGTAGAAAGACTCATTGTTTTTGCTACTAACAGAGATGTTGGCGCATGCATCTCTAATCTGTATGCACCTGATTATTACTAGTCATAATCGGTTTGCACTTGGATCCTTGGCACCTGTAACCCAGTATAGAGCTGGGAAAATAAACAACAGACCCTAATCTTATCCAAAGGAATATTGACAACTGATTGCTGCTAGAAGAGGAACAGCTGACCCTCTTAAAACAAAGACCTCTAGATATGCTGACTAGATTCACCAGAAGGGCAAGTAGTGGGGATTGGCTGGGGTGCCGACAACACAGCAGACGGTAGCAGGGATATCAGAGTATAAGGGCTCTAGTGTGGGGAGGGAGGCTATGAGAGGGTGCCATCTGGGACATCGGTCTATAGTCAAATAAGATGGTTTGGGATGTTCTGTGTGATATACACACAGAAAAAAAAATCAACAAATTTAAAAAAATGTATTATATTTGAGGAGGAAGCATGGAAATTTATGTCACGCTAATTAGTAGCGGTGGTAAACATTACCATTGAAATCTACCTGATGACTTCATAGATATTTAAGTCTTTTAATAGATGTGTGTATTTTTTCCTCTCAAATATGAAAAGATAAAAAGCCTAGCATTAGGGCTAGAGAGATGGTTCAGTGGTTAAGAACAGTGGCTGCTCTTGCAGAGGACACAGATTCAGTTCCCAGCACCCTTATGCTGACACAGAACCATCTCTAACTCCAGTTCCAGGTGATCCAATGCTCTCTTCTGGCTTCCATGGGCTCCTGCACCTGAGTGTACATGAGCTCACACAAGCACGTACACATACTCATAAGAATAAAATAAGACAAATAAATTTATCTTGTGTAATCCCAGCATTTAGGAGGCTGAATCAAGAGAATGGTGTGTTAAAGGCTAGCCTAGAGTGTAGAGTAAGACCCTGTTTCAAAAAAAGCAAAAAATGAAAAAGAGGGCCAGGTATGGTAGTGAATACCTTTAGTCCCAATACTTGGGAAGCAGAAGCTGTAAGATCTCTGGGAATTCAAGGCCAGTGTATTAGTCAGGGTTCTCCAAAGAAACAGAACCAGTAGAATGAATATATATGTATAGGGATTTATCAGTTTAGCTCACAGGATAGAGTCCGAGTAGTTCAGCAATGGCTGCACCACACTGGAGAGGCTGAGAATCTGTAGTCTCTCAGTCCACAAGGCTGGATGTCTCAGTAGTCCCAATCTGGCGCTGAAGGTCTGACGAATTCCAAAAGATCAACTAGTCTTCATTCTATAACAGCAAGATGAACTCACCAGCAAGAGAGAAGGCAAGCAGCAAGAAGCCTGGCGTTCTCCTCTGCCTTGGTCTTTTATACAGGCTGCCATCAGAAGGTAACACCCATATTTAGTGTGTGTCTTCCAGCTTCAGATGATCCAATCAAGAAGATCTCTTTCAATTCATAATCCCAGATCCAGTCAAGTTGACACCCAGGATTAGCCATCACAGCCAGTCTGGTCTACATAGTGAGTTCCAAGTTAGTCAGTGCTACATAATAAGACCCTGTCTCAAAAACGTTTTTTTTTTTTTTAAAGCTTGTCAAAATTAATATCTTTCCTTTTTGGGATAAACTTTATACTTTGATTTACAAAGGTTTTTAAAAATTGCAGTGAAGGGGCTGGAGAGATGGCTCAGCAATTAAGAGCATTGACTGCTCTTGCAGAGGACCCAGGTTTGATTCCCAGCACCCATATGGCAGCATGAACCGTCCTTAACTCCAGTTCCAGAGGAATCCGAAGCCCTCATCTGACCTCCGCAGCATTGCATGACACAGGTGCACTCACATACATGCAAGCAATGCACTCATAAAACAAAAATAATAAATAAAAAATTTTTTTTGAAAAATTGCAATGAAAAAGCCAGGTGTGGTGGCACACGCCTTTTAATCCCAGCACTTGGGAGGCAGAGGCAGGCGGATCTCTGTGAGTTTGAGGCCAGCCTGGTCTACACAGTGAGTTCCAGGACAGCTGGGGCTACAGGGAGACCCTGAATAAAAAGACCAAAAAAAAAAAAAAAAAAAAAAAAAAAAAAAAAAAAAAAAAAGCAATCGAGGTATAGACAGTTGCTCAGTGGTAGACAACTTGCCTAGCATGTGCAAGGCACTAGATCTGATCCCCCAGCATCTAAAAAAGGAACAGACAGAAACTAGTCTACAGGTTTAGTGCCTTTTTTTTTTCAGTAAAATATAGTGCCAAGTTGGATGACTAGATAAAATATAATATATGCACGCACACAAGGTAAAGTATTATGCAATCTATTTAAAAAGAAGGAAATTGGTTACTTGGAACAACACATATAAGCCTGGAAGACAATATGCATATAAAGAAAGACAAATACTAGATGGCATCACTTATATGTAGAATATAAAAAATATCTAACTCTGAGAGGCAGAGAATAGAATGATGACTGCTAGGGACTTGGGGAATAGGTGGGAAATTGGGACATATTGGTCAGAGAGAGTTTTAGTAATACAACATGAATAAGTTTTGGAAATCTAATGTATGGTGCAGTAATTAATAGTCTATAATGACACTATCATTGCTGGGTATGGTGATATGTAATTCAGTGTTCAGGAAGCTGAGGCAGGAGGACTCCCAAGTTCCAAGCTAACTAGGATACCTAGTGAAACCCTGTCTCATAACAAAGTAACATAAAACAAAATAAGTGGAAAATTGTATTGTGTACTTGAAATTTGCCAAGAACATGGATTTCAAATGTTCTCCTCTGCCCTCCCCCTACATGCACGCACGCACGTGCTTGCAGTAGTTAAATATATGAGTGGTGAATGTTAGCTTGATTGTGGCAATTATTTCAGTGTATTCACATGAAAATACCATATGAAAAGAAAAAAAGAACTATCACATAGGCACTCAGATTAACACGAGTTTTGCCACTGATAACTCAGTAAAACTGGAAAAGAAAATATATGTGCCAAGCAGTACCCCATGGCTAATAATGAATTTTTTTAAACAGTCTGCTCTATTTTTTTAAATATTTTTATTTATTATTTTTATTTTATGTGTATGTGTGTATTACCCGTGTGTAGGTAAGTGTAGTTTAATGTCTGCGAAGGGCTGTTAGATCCCCTGGAACTGGAGTTATGGACAGTTATTAGCTGCCATTGTAGGTGCTGGGATTTGAACCCAGGTCTTCTGCAAGAACAACCAGTGTTCTCAACTGCTGAGCCATCTCTTCAGCCCCCTAATAGTGAATTTTTAAACCATCTGAACTGGCTAACTAGGCTTAGGGAATGATTTGCGGTGAGATGTGCAACCAATATTCATAAAATACATGTATGAATGGGCATTTAAACCAGATTTGTGGATGATAGTTTCTTCATAGCGTTTGTCATAGTAGTTTGGAACTTGATTATTTCTTTGCTATTGATCTCTGAAAATTTTGCTATACTATCTTTTCTGAGCTTTCTTTTTATACTTTATAAAACGGCCATATTGAAATGGTCACTTATTCTAAACTGCTTTGGCTGAGCATGGGAAATCAGGAGCTTTCATGTATCTGTGGTGTATATCTGACATAGTGGTTTTTATCTAGAATCCTATTTTAGGATGTCAGTGTCAAGACGATTATATTCATAATTGTGTTTTTCTTGTCTGTAGTCCAAGCTCACCTTAACTCCATGGGTTGGTCTTCGGAAGATCAATGTGTCTTACTGGTGCTGGGAAGATATGTCTCCATTTACAAATAGTTTACTGCAATGGATGCCATCTGAGCCCAGTGATGCAGGCTTCTGTGGAATCTTGTCAGAGCCCAGTACTCGGGGATTGAAGGCTGCAACCTGCATCAACCCACTCAATGGCAGTGTTTGTGAAAGGCCTGGTAAGGACATGGATGAATAAAGTACTCCATAAAGAAAGATGAAAAACATGAGGGTTATTGAGAAAAGAAAGCATAGGAGGCATAGTTGAATATTAAGAGGCATAAAGATGGAGAACATCTGTTTCAGGCATATTTCAAGTATAACAGAAAATCCAAATGCAGAGGGAAATAGTTTGTGTCTCTGGCTAGTTTGAGCCATACATAAAACCAAAACTAAAATTACTGAAAGAACCTAATGTATCCATTAATACTGAGTTTGACTGGTTTGTTGATCACAAAAAGTGTTGAAGATTTTCTGAAAGGACATTTCTTTGGTGTTGGTAGGGAAATGGTATGAAAGAAAGAACAAAAAGGGAAAATAAAACCAATATAAGTTTAGAAAACAACAAGTAGGGACGGTGTTCAGAATGCCACTTGGGAAAGGGAACAACAAAAGCAGTTCTGTGATAGAAGCCAGCTGGAGCCAACACCAAGCTACAGCAGCATGTTCTCAGAGCTCAGTTTAGGTCCATGAAGGGTCAGATCAGCCTCTGCAGCACACAAATGGGGACTCACAAGCAAGAGGTATGATTGTGAGTTTTGGGGGAGGCTGGATTCCATTCCTACCGTGTCTGGTTTCAGGAAGATATTGTATTTTGCTTAATACCAAGATGGAAGAGAGATTCACAGCATTATAGGAGTTACCTTACAGCAGGATTTCTGAACTTCTTGTAGGAATGCTTATCAGCCTCTCTTGAATCCTAAATGCTTTGGTGAAATTAATACTGTGGTCCCTTTTACCGCCAGAACAATAGATATAGAATTTTATAAATTCAGGTGGATTTTCTGAAGGTCATCCCAAGTCATCTATGTTCTAAGGAGCTTAGGCCCTTACTTTTTAGGAAGATTCTCTTGTTCCCACACCTTTGTCCTTATGCTTTTTGAAAAGTCTACTTTGTCCCAAGTATTTATGTATACTTGACTAAACAGTACATGATGATGTCAGAGTTTTCTGTTTTCTCCTCCATTGTGGTATAGTGCCTGAATTGATTTTATGATACATTGGTGGGTCATAACTCACATTGGAAAGTCTTTGATCTTAGCTGACCAGTGTCCCTCTTGGGCTTAATTACCAGCAAACCACAGTGCCAAGCAGTGTCGGACACCATGTGCCCTGCGGACAGCGTGTGGTGAGTGCACCAGCAGCAGCTCTGAGTGTATGTGGTGCAGCAACATGAAGCAGTGTGTTGACTCCAATGCCTATGTGGCTTCCTTCCCTTTCGGCCAATGTATGGAGTGGTATACAATGAGCAGCTGCCCGCGTAAGTGCAAAGAGAACTCAGGCATCCATTGGTGCCCTGCATGAAGGGGACAAAGCTTGCTATGGAGTAGTGTTGTCAGTCTTTGAACATTTTTTGGGCAAGTTGAATTTGACCTTCTACTCAGGTCTCTCCAGAGGCTGCATGTCCTCACTGCATGTCCTCACTGATGAAAATGAGTATATAGAACCTGGCATAATGATACATGTAATAAATCAGATAAATCTTGGATAGATCACAGAGTCCAGAAAAAAATGATGATCTTCAGGGCCATATTGTTCAATCTTTATAATGTTTCCACATCTTAATCTGCCAGTTTGTAAAGTTCTTTTCAGTAGAGAACTTCCCAGGTCCCTTCTACCTCCAACATCCTGGGATTGTTACATATAGTTACATGTTACATATAGTTATTTCATTTAAATTCCTACATCCATTTCATTTAAATTCCTATTCCTACAATAGGATAGTAGATTTGATTCATAGACGCTAAATAATCGATTGAAGAAAATGTAACTTAAAAATAGTGAGGAGGCCGGGCATGGTGGTACACGCCTTTAATCCCAGCGGAGGCAGGTGGATCTCTGTGAGTTTGAGGCCAGCCTGGTCTATATAGTGAGTTCCAGGCCAGCTGGGGCTACAGGGAAACCCTGCCTCAAAAAGATTTCCGCACCACCAAAAAGATAATTAAAAAAAAAGGAAAAAAGATACTACTGCCTTAAATCTACATGGTAAATTAAAAAAAAAAAAAAAAAAAAAAGTGAGGTGATCACAGCTGCTAGCACTTCCTGTTGAGGACATAGCAATTGTGTTTGTTTCTCTAGGGGTCGCTGTCATTTAAATTATCTGTAAAGTAACTGATCCCTAGACATGCTGTAAAGCCAACAGATCTTAGTTATTCAGTGATATACCAGCTCATTGGTAGAGTCAGTTATTCCAACTCACCTTACTAACTAGTCTCAGAACCAGTGGAAACTGTGTTAGACTGTCAAGCTTCTGTGAACACTGTTCTATCTTCAGTGAATGTATGATAATGTTCTTGAGCTGTCCACCAGAAACATGTGCCATTGTAAACCGTGAATTTTTTAATTAAATTTTATATGCTGTAACATGATTTTATATGAATGATACTTTGTTTAAACTATCAAATGTCAGTATTTAGTACAATTTTATTATAAAATGTACATTATCATGAAATGAACCTTGATTTTAAAAATCAAATTAGCTTTAGTTGTATATTATTTTTTTACAAATAAAGATAGACTTTTATAAATGTTAAAAAAACAAACAAAAAAGCCAGTGAATTCAGATCTACATGTGATAGTGAATTACAACTTGTATTTTTTTATAGCTGAAAATTGTTCAGGCTACTGTACCTGCAGCCATTGCTTGGAGCAGCCAGGCTGTGGCTGGTGTACTGATCCTAGCAATACTGGGAAAGGGAAATGCATCGAGGGTAGCTATAAAGGACCAGTGAAGATGCCTTCACAGGCCTCTACAGGAAATGCATATCCACAGCCCCTTCTGAATGCCAGCATGTGTCTAGAGGACAGCAGATACAACTGGTCTTTCATTCACTGTCCAGGTAAGGTGCCTGTATAGCCAAGTTCAAGTCTCTGTCTGTTTACAAAGAATAAAACCTTGAAAACTATCATAATCTTTGTACATAAATCTTAACAAAATATCTCCATTCCCATATTCTTCCAACATCTTTTACCTTCCCATTTTCTTTCTTAATAACCATGAGACAAAATAACATTAACAAATTTTTCATCTGTTGTGAGAATTTTCTTTCCGGGGATAAGCAGTGTTTATCCCCTTTAAGGTTCTATTGTCAAACCAATGTTTGATTACATTAAAGTTCACCCTAGGGTACCAATGAGTTTACTGTCCTGAATGTATTCTTCCAACGGAGCATGGCCAGCACATTTGTATTTATTAACCAGGAGGGTCACCACCCTTCTCCCTCCCTTTTTCGCTCCCTCCCTAGATCACAGCAGCATTTATGCTGGGGAATAGGGCTTAGCATCCAGCCCATTGCTTATATGAATTTCCTTTAAGAAAAAAAAAGTAATAGGTCATTTTAGAAGAAATAGTTTCATGTGGAAAAATAGTTTCAATATCCATAAAAATGAGAACTTTACATTAGCTATTTTACTGATTTGTATAAAATAACATATATTCTTTATAGCAGTATTGCAAATTGATACAATTACAGACATATATATGTATATATATTGTCTTTTTGAGACAGGGTCTCCCTGTAGCCCCATCTGGCCTGGAACTTGCTATGGAGACCAGGCTGGCCTCGATCTCACAGAGATCTGCCTGTTTCTGCTTCCCAAGTGCTGTAAATAAAGGTATACACCACCACACCTGGCTCAATCAATTTTTTTTTAAAAAAAATACTGTGTTCAGCTGAACATAGTGGCACATTCCTATAATTCCAGACCTTGTAAGGTAGAAGCAGGAACATCAGGAATTCAGTCATTCTCAGCCATGAAGTTCAGGGCTTGCCTGGACTACGTGAGACTCTGTCTTAAAAAATTAAAAAGATTGGTGGGGGGAGGGAAATTTTATATATGGAACTTTTTTTCCCCCTACAGTTTTCCTTTTACTTAAAAATGTATTGTGGCAGGGTGCAGATGGCTCAGCAGTTAAAAGCACTTGCTGCTCTTGCAGAGAACCCAGGTTTGGTTCCCTGAACCAACATGGCAGCTCACAATCATCTGTAACTCCAGTTCTGGGAGTTCCAATGCCCTCTTCTGGCCTCTGAGGGCACTGCACATGCATGGTATACATATATACATGTAGGCAAAACATACACATAAAATAAAAATAAATCTTTAAGAAGCATACATGCTATATTACTATATAAACCATATTACTATATAAACCATAATTTGTTATTATGAGCTCTCATTCCTCTCTGGATATATGGTGCCTGCATCATTTTTGAAAATACTTTATAACTATTGGATTTTCTTGGCATAGTTGTTGAAACTCAATTGTCCATTCACATAAGAGCTTATTTCCAAGCTCTGATACCTAGCCCATTGACCTTTTATGTTGTTATGCCTGTATCATACTGTTTTGAGTATTGTAGCTCTGTAGCAAGTTTTTAAGTTGGGGGATCTAATTCTTTCAACTTGGTTCTTACTTGTCAATATTGTGACTACTCTAGGTTTCAATTCCATATGCATTTAGGGTCAATTTCTGCAACAACAAAAAACAGCTTGAGTCTGGCTTGGTGGTGCATACCTTTAGTCCCAGCACTCGGGAGGAAGAGGCACTTTGTGAGATCGAGGCCAGCCTGGTCTTCATAGTGAGTTCTAGGCCAGCTGGGGCTACAGGGAGACCCTGTCTCAAAAAGACCAAAAAAAAAAAAAAAGTCAGCTTGTTAGACAGATATTATTGAATCTATTAATTAATTTGTGATGAATTGCAACTTTCAAAGTAATAAACTTCCTGTGTAGGATTTCTGTTTATTTACCTCTTTACTTGATCTGAGGAGTGCTCTGTAGTTTCCATCATACATGCCCTGCACGTTTGCCTACTGAGTGTTGGGATTACAGGCTTGAGCTGCTACACCTGGCCAAGAAAATTTCTTTCTATTCCACGTTCGTTCAGGGGGTTGTTATGAATTAGTTAGATTTTGTCATAGATCTTTTTGTTGTCTATTGAGATGGCCAAGTTGTTTTGTTCTTTATTCTAGTATTATAGATTACATTAATTGATTTAAAGGTGTTAAACCACTTTTGTATTCCTGGTATAAAACCCATTTGGTTCTGATATGGAATTCCTTTGCATGTGTTCTGGCTTCTGTTTCTTGTTTGGGAATTTTGTGCTTACATTCCTGAGTATAGATTTCTAGTTTTATTTTGTCAGGCTGTGATACCAGGATTGTACTAGCCTCATAGACTAAGTTGTGATGTATTCCCCCCTGCTGTTTACTGGAAGAGTTAAGTAGTATTAATTCTTCTTTGAACTTGGATATAGTTTACTAGTAAAGTCGTCTAGGCCTATGTATTTCTTTGCAAGAAGTTTTGTTTTGGGTTTTTTTTTTGTTTGTTTGTTTTTCTGTAGTGATAGGGACTGAACATGCATGCTAGACAAGCACTGTATCACCGAGCTGCATCCCTAGCCTTTCTGGGAAGACTTTAAATTTTCATTTCATCTCTTGTTATAGATCTGTTCAGATTTTCTGTTTCTGATAGCCTATGGTCCTCTAAGAATTTGTCTGTTTCATCTGAGTTTTGAAATTTATTGTCATATAGCTCATAGCATTTTCTTGCTGGTGGCTTTAAGTTTGTGTGTGTGTGTGTGTGTGTGTGTGTGTGTGTGTGTGTATCATTGTGTACATGCAGCAGCACATGTGGAGGTGAGATGAAAAACTTGGGTGTTGGTCCTCACATGTTGTCTGAAGCAGGGTCTCTTGTTCACTCCTGTGTATGCCAGGCTCACTGGCCCACGAGCTTCTAGGGAGTCTCCTGTTCTGCCTCCCATTCTGTAGTGGGGCACTGGGGTTGCAGATGTGCATGACTTCATCTGGCTTTATATCTGTCTGGGAATCTGAACTCTAGTCCTCATGCTTATAGAGCAAATACTTTGTCCTCTGAACCATCTCCCAGACTCACCTGTAGCTTTCTAGCTTTTATGTATTCTCCTGTTTAACCTATTGAGGACCTTTTTGTTATGATTTTATGTATCCTTTTAGATTTGTGAGGGCTCTAAATGTTGAAATGTTAGTGTTTGTTTGTTGTTGTTTGTTTGTTTGTTCCCAGAGCTTATTTTCTTATTTTGTAGATGCAAAAATTCAGGTCTCTTTGACTATACTAAAATTAGTATTTTTAATTCTCCTCTATTTCTCACTTCAGGATTGGTTACTTTGCACGTTTATTGGGTAGGACTTGTAAATTAAACATTCTCTACTTTTTAAAAATTATGTTTTGAAAGATTTGCATTTTTATGCTAGTAAATCTTCAAGCTGATGCATTTATAACCAACTCTGTAGATTTACCAGGATTGGCCAGCAGATGGAGTAGTGAACTGTTGTGAAGGTATGGGTTAAGGTCCTAAGGAGCAAGCTAGCTAGCCAGACTCAAAACTACCGCTCTGGTCTTCTTTGAGTTGTTGAATGATCTGTGTTCTTCCTTCCATCACCAGAGCAAGGAACTCTGGCACCTGGATGCAGTTGGCACCTGCAAGATTATGCCAAGTGCTTCTGTCCTTGGGTGCCATGACAACCTAAAGTCAACTAGTATATTGCCCTGATTTTTCTTTCTGAATTTATCCTCCCCTCCCATTTTCTACCTATATTTCACCTGGAACTGTTCTTTTCCACTATAGCTCCTAGACGTGTGCATTGGCCAGCTTAGAGCAGGGACAGAGCAGGTCATGGCCTGCTTCCTCCTGTCCACCATACTTTGTGAGGCCTGCGCTGGCACCTAGTCTCTGCTGGATTTTTCTGCTGCCCATGGCTCAGTGCATGTAGTCCCTTTGGTAGTCCCTCCTTCAGTATGAGGATATAGGTGTCTATTTCTCCTTTTCTTTCAGATGCTAGAACTTCCTAAGTACTTCAGAAGTGTACTCAGTGTCACTACCAGCACTTTTCCCTTTTATCTGACCCTCCTCTTGATTTAGATTTTACTTTTTTCCCTCTGAAATTTCAAAGAGAAAAGCATTTTCTTAAGCTTTTTATCTTGAGCTAGAATTTTTTTTGTAGATGATTTTTGGCATTTCATTTTGGTTAAGTGTTGAGATTTTCCTTTTACTATACATAGTCACTCAACTTCACAGGAATAAAATGTATATCCTATACCTCTTAAGTAATTTTGGTACAGTCATAACTACTGTAGTCCTTTTAAGGTTTATAGTTGCAGTCTATATGAAAAAACTCTCAGGCATCTCCAACCTGAGGTAAATATGGGGCATAAATAGAGTATGTGCACGGCTGTGGATGTACGCCTGTGTGGATGGGTCAAGACCGATCCACAGAATCCGAGATCTGCTTATGGTGCTTTGGGTTATACGCTATGTAAATGTCCTACCCCTGAGCTCTGCAGTACACAGCCTGCACAGCTGACTTCAGCAGCCCTAGGAAGTCCAGGTGTCATATGCCTTTCTAGTTGTAAAGTCCTGTATCTACCAGGAGCACTAGGAATCTACCTCTAGAAATGGTTATCTATAAAGATGCTTATTTTCCTAATAATGAAAAATGTAAAGGAAAGGTTAAATAACTGTTTTGAATCAGATGTTTTACTTTTCAAAGTTTTCTTTGTGATAGATAAAATAATGTACAATATTTTTATCTAACTTTTAAAAATCAAAATTGAATATTAATATGAATAAAACTATAAAGTTATATATAAAAATCCTGAAAGGAAAGGCGGGCATGGTGGCACATACTTTTTTTCGGGACTGATATGTTTTTACATTTTTTATTTTCTCAAACTAGTTTTTAGTGAGCCTTGTTTTGTTTTGTTTAGATTTTTTGCTGTTTTTCTTTTCGGTTTTTTTGAGACAGGGTCTCCCTATAGCCCCAGCAGACCTGGAACTCACTATATAGACCAGGCTGACCTTGAACTTACAGAGATTCTCCTGCCTCTACCTCTTGAGTGCTGGAATTACATGCGCCACCATGCCCAGCTCTTGTTTGGATTTTTTAAGACTAGCCTCCGATTCTCTAGGTAGCCAAGGGTAGCCTTGAATTCCTGATTCTCCCTAGCACTAGAATTATAGGTGTAAATCATACCCAGCCTTTTTTGTTTCAGATGGGGATCTGAAACTTCTGGGCTTAAGTAAGATAGGTCCACAGAATCTTAGCGATACTATCTGCCTCAGCCTCCCTAGTAGTTGGAACTACAGGCACAAACCACCATATTTGATTAGTCTTGATGATTTGATATTTAGCGGTAGATGCACATAAATCTTGTGAAACTTACTCCATTCAGTTCTGCTATGAGAGATGCCTTGAAATTCTTTGCCTTTCAGCTTGTCAGTGCAATGGACACAGCAAATGCATCAACCAGAGTATCTGTGAAAAGTGTGAGAACCTGACCACAGGCAAGCACTGTGAGACCTGTATATCTGGCTTCTATGGTGATCCGACTAATGGAGGCAAATGTCAGCGTAAGTCACACTGGTCAGGTTTGTTGATCACCAGTTAGGTTAAGCAGTATGCCCGTTTGACTTAAATGTTATAAGAGGGGGGAAAAAACCACTTGGTTTTAGATACTGCCTTTCTTATTAAGTTATACTGTTAAGAGCTCAACTGAGCTAAAAGAGAGTTAAACTGTTGGATTTGGGAACAACTGATTAAAGAAGCAAACCAGCAGTGAAAGAGTTAAGCCTTTAATCACGTTCAGTGGAGATATGAACAAGAGGCTAAAATTAGAGAAGGTGCCAACTCCCTTTGTTCCATTTTCCCTCATGGAATGGTGCATCACCTGAGTCAAGTGGATCAGTGCTGCTGTGGGGTGGTCATCTCATCATGGAGGGAGCCTGGTCAACAGCATTGTGGGGTAGGAGAGTAGAAAGAGCTAGGAGTGAGAAATCCTGGACACTGAGTCAGAGTGAAGAAAGTATCTTCAGAGTTTCCCTCCTCCCCAATAAAGTGGTACCGCAGAGGCACTTGAAGAAATCCTCTGCTGAACAGTGCATTCTAAGAACATGACAGCTAGGGGAGTCTAGTACTGTACTGCTCTTCTCTCAGAGCCTACAACACTTGTCTGCAGTGGGGAGGGCAGCTGGCTTCCTGAGAACACCAGGTAAAATCTTTGCAGTGGCTTAGGTTTTGTTTTGTTTGTTGAGACAGAAACTGGGGGAATTGAAGGTGACCTTGAACTCCTGATCCTCCTGCCTGAACCTCCCAAATTCCCAACTTCACACACAGGCAATCTCTAGTCCTTCCCAAGTATTTTAAAGATTTGAATAGCCCCATGTTTCCCCATTCATACCAGGTAGAAGTCTGAAAAGCCTCAGGACACTTAGAAAGTAAGTTAATGTTGTCTAAAAACATTGTCACACTAATGAACTCATTTTTTATTTGCTCTGATATTGGGAATCCTATAGCTGAAATCCTATTAGAATAGTATTAGGAATCCTATAGCTGAAATACCCCTTAAGTTCTGAGCAGGAAAATTAAGAAAGGAGTTCTCAGGCTAAGAAAGCTCAGTTGGTAAAGTACTTACCACGCAAGAGTAAGGACCTGAGTTTCATTCCTGGAACCCGCATTAAAAAAAGCCTGGCATGGCAGTACATGTTTGTATCACCAGCACTGATGGATCCCTGGGATTCAGTGGCCAGCCAGCCTAGCTTACTTGATGAGTTCTAGGCCAGCAAGAGAGCCTGTCTCAAAAAAACAAAATGGATGGTGCCTGAGGAACAACACCCAAGGTTGAACTCTGCCCCCCACATGCATGCACACACAGACAAATTTAAAAAGAAAGATTTGGGGCTGGGGAGATGGCTCATTTGGTAAAATGCTTGCCATACAAGCATGAGGGCCTGAGTTTGAATCCCTAGCGCCCATGTAAAAAATTGGACATTATGACACATGCCTATAATCCTGGTGCTGATGAAGCTGAGACAAGAGGATCCCTAGCGCTCACTAGCAAGCTAGTCTCCAAGAATTGGTGAGCTCCAGATTCAGTAAGAGACCCTGTCTCAAGGATGGGAAAGAGGGGCTGGAGAGATGACTCAGTGGAAGAAGGAAGGGAGGGACAGAGGGAAAGGAAGGCAGGCCAAGAGTATTCATTGTCTTCACAATAGTCATAGTCATGTAAGGATTTTGATGAGTTTTGAAGCTATTATCTTCAGAGTTGCTAAGAGACCTAAAAGTGATCACAGGTTGGTTCCTGGGGGGTACCTAACAGTGGTTAAGAGCATCGGCCGCTCTTGCAGAGGACCCGGATCAATTCCCAGCACCCACATTGCAGCTAACAACCTGTCTGTAACTCCAATTCCACGGGAATTCAATGCTCTCCTCTGACTTCCATGGGTTTTGCATGCTTATATACACACAGGCAATACAATACAGTCATACGTGTAAAATAAAAATAAAATATTTTGGGGCTGGAGAGACGGCTCAGTGGTTAAGAGCACTGATGGCTCTTGCAGAGGACCCGTGTTCAATTCCCAGCACCCACATGGTGGCTACAAACCATCCTTAACTCCAGTTCCAGGGGAATCTAAAGCCCTCTCTGACATCCGCGGCACTGTACAACATGGGTGCACTCACATACATGCAGGCCATACACTCGTCCACATAAAATAAAAATAAGATATTAAAAAAATGTTTAAAAAATATTTTTAAAAATTGTTATTTAATAACCACATGATTAGAAGAAGCATTTCATTACAACAGCACTGACATATTTGATAACAATTTCCAAAGCAAAGATGCATCTCTTTCAAAATTAGCTGTAAATTTTTAGGTTCACAGTTGAATTAATAGTTATACAATATTGTACTCAGTATAAAACCCTATAAGACATAAAATTAATGAGGTTTTAACCTTTAACCTCCATTTCATTTTAAAATATACTGTTTCATACAGAAAAACTCATTTTTAATGCAACTAACGCTTAGATGTTTGCACGTGTCTCTAATCTCTATCTGATTATTACTAGTCACAGTCGTTTACTTTCTGAGCTCCTTGGCACCTGAGCATGGATATAAAGTCATCAGGTAGATTTCAGTGGTAATGTTTTTCACCTCTACTTATTAACATGAAGCAAAATTTTATGCTTCTTCCTCAAACTCATTTTTTTATTTATTGATTTTGTGTGTGTGTGTGTGTGTGTGTGTATTTCATACAGAACATCCCACACAATCTTATTCATCTAGATACCCACATCCCAAATAGCACCCTCCCATAGCCCCTCCCCCACCACTGGAGCCCATATACTCTGTCATCCCTGTTACTGTCCACTGTATTGTCGGCGCCCCCAGCCATTCTCCAGTGTTTGTCCATCCCCTGAGTCTAGTCAGCCTCTCTAGAGTGCCTTGTTTTAGGACGATCAGCTTTTCCTCATCTAGGAGCAATCAGTTGTCACTATTCCTTTAGATAAGATTGGGGTCTGCTGTTCATTATAAAATATTTTTTAATGTAAACCTTTCTCCAGCTTAATGCCTTTTATTTATTCACTGAAAAACAAGATATAAAATGAAAAGGTATTGAGTATAAAAACCTTCACTTAGTTTTAACTGGAGTATCAGACCTACCACAACTCCTATTTATGTTAGGTGAAGACAGGCAGCCATGCTGAGATGTCCACAGGTGGGAGATAGAGTTGTTCTATGTAACAGCAAAGGAGAAGGCAAAGCAAAAGTGGCAAGTACTGCTGTCCTTGACAAGAGGGCCCTTCCAATTCTGAACCTTGAAGAATGTGATTCAAAATGTCGCTGCTATGGAGAAGATCCCTCAGATGAGGCTGAGGGCAACCAACCAGCCTTCTTCCAGAGGGCATCCAGATCATCTCTGCAGGGCAAGGATCCAGGACCTGGCATATTAAAAATGCTTCTTAAGTATTTAGTGAAGAAATAATATTGAAAGAGAGTGTATCAAAAAATGGAAATAGTGATTGCTTCACATGGCCACAGAAGCAGTAGTTGTCTCTTTCCTCTTATCCTTTGATACTGGTCTTCTAATGCTACCTTTATATTATCATAAATAATCGTTAGCTGAAAAATCATGAATCTTACCTACTGACTGTTTTTGCTGTAGTATGTGTTTCCTAGAAAACCCAGTTCAGGCAAAGTTAATTATCTTGAGAAAAGTCTGTGGCAATAATCTTTTAAGCCGGTTGTGACCTGCATTCTTTCTTTTTCTCCCCAGCATGCAAATGCAACGGGCATGCCTCACTGTGTAATACCAACACTGGGAAGTGCTTCTGCACCACCAAGGGTGTCAAGGGGGATGAGTGCCAGCTGTAAGTACTGCACTCTTCGTACTACCAGCAAGGGCCAGGGCCATGGAGCTGCCTGAACCCTGAGAGCCACATGCTTCCTTGCGCCTTGTCATGGGCTCCCAGAGGTCCTTGGGTAGATTGTTTCAAAGTTTGCCTCTTATGTGTCAGACAAGTCAACCTCAAAACTGAAGGTCATTAGCAGCAGTTCTTTAATGGCTCTATAATTTTTAAAAAATATTTGAGCCAGGTGTGGTGGGCCTGGAACTCACAGAGATCCACCTGCCTCTGCCTCCCAAGTGCTGGGATTAAAGGTGTGTGCTACCATGCCCAACTGATTTTTCAGATTTTTAAAATTTTGTTTTTATTTTATGTTTATGAGTATTTTACCTGCCTGTAAGTGCATCATGTGTATGCAATGTCTGCAGAGGCCAGAAGAGGATGTCAGATCCCTTGGAACTGGAGTTAATGGATAGTTGTTAGCCATTATGTAGGTACTAGGAACTGAACCCAGGTCCTCTGCAAAAGCAGTATATACTCTTAATCTCTGAGTCATTGTTCCAGCTCCTAACCTTGTTTTTCTTAAAAAGCAATACTGCATCAGTAATTGAGACATATATAAATTTCGATAGTTTATGTCAATGTTTGTGATTACTAGTTTCATGCTGCTTTGAAGCCAATTATGTGAAGACTAGTCTAATTAGAGATTGGATTTAACATTTGGTCCAGATTCCTTTAAACAGAAAAATGTGATAGGGCAAAATTTAATCACTCTTGTCCTATGTTAGAGACATTCATAGCAAAACCTGAGGTGGCAATCCTGCATGAGACTTAAGTCTCCAAGAGATTGTTGCTGTAAGAAAGAGCCAACCATCACCTTAGGTGAAAGAGCAGTCCCTAGCTTATCATACCTGGAAAACTGCTTTTCCTCTTCCTTGGGCTTCAGAGCTGTTCTTGCCTAAGTGGCTGTGTGAAGTAGAAGATTGACTTAGGCTTACATTTTTAAATAAATCTATGGGAAGGTTAATGATTCCCTTTAATAGGAACTGATTTGTTTCTTCAGACTCGTAAACACCTGTTAAAGGTGATTTTCTTTCTTTTTTCTTTTTTTTTTATTATTTTTATTTATGTGTATGCGTGTATTACCTGCATGTAGGTAAGTTCACCCGTGTTGTGCAATGCCCTCGGAGGTCAGAAAGGGCTGTCAGATCCCCTAGAACTGGAGTTACGGACAGTTTTAGCTGCCATGTGGGTGCTGGGATTTGAACACAGATCTTCTGCAAGAACAACCCGTGTTCTTAATTGCTGAGCCATCTCTTCAGCCCCGCGGTTTTCTTTTTTAAGTGATTCTTGGTACTTAGTTTTCTGATGTTTGCGTTTTAAAAGCTGAATCACATTGGGCATTTGCCTTCAATGCCTGCACCTGGGATGTAGCAGAAGGCAGATTTCTGTGAGTTCCAGGCCAGCCATGTTTATACAGGGAAAGCAGTATAGCAGTGAAAAAGGAATATTTGAAAAATATTTTAAGGAATATTTTTATTTATTATTTTTACTTTATGTGTATGAGTTTATTGCCTGCATGTATGTAAATCCATCCATGTCATGCATTGCCCACTGATGTCAGAAGAGGGTGTTAGATCCCCTGAACTGGAGTTACAGACGGTTCTTAGCCACCATTTGGGTGCTGGGAACCAAACCCAGGTCCTCTGCAAGGGCAGCCAGTGCTCTTAACCACTGAGCCTTCTCTCCAGCCCCTGGAAAATATTTTAATATACTTTTAGAAGAATATGTAGTCTACACAAAAGTAAAAATGTGATGTTCCTTATAATAAATCGACTTTAGATTTATTACACTTGAATGTATCTTATGTACTTTGTTAAGATTTGTTGATTGTATTTGTACTGTCAGTGATTATAAACTGCTCTGCAGTCAGCAGGAAAATTAATGCACTTTGCTTGCTTAGTCCATCTGATCTGAATAATGGTGCAATTTATGGAAAAGGATCTGCTTGACTTACAAATGAATGTAGATTCTGTGTTTTTAAATATAAATAGAAAGTAATTTCTTTTCCCCACAGATGTGAGGTGGAAAATCGGTATCAGGGAAACCCTCTCAAAGGAACATGTTATTGTAAGTATTTTTGTAACTTGTTTCTAGAAATGGAGAAGTTGAGCAAAATTATATTTTCTTTAACATGGTTTGAGAGTGGTAAATGCTTGAGGAATATAGCAAGCACTCATAGACATGGCCCCTGACTTGATGAACATTATTTTAAGCTGTTTTAATTGCAGTTGTGGTTTCTGTTAGTATGTCCATAGCAGTTAAGCCTAGGACAGTACAGGGATGTGTATTCCTGCCTCTCCTTATTTCTGTTCCCTCGAAACCTTACTTCATTTGCCATTGGTTGAGGTCATCATTTCCTAGTACAAGATAAAAGAATTCCTAAAATACATAAGATATTTCATCATTCTTTCTGGAGCTGATTTGTGTTAACCACATCTTTAGGAACAAATATATAAAATGAAATACCAAATTATTATCTTGTAGTCAAAGGTGAATCTGGCAAGAAGACAGTTAAAAGCAGGAGTCAGATATGGTTTCAAACTCACAGAAGTGCACCCACCTCTGCCTCCAGAATGCTGGGATTAAAAGTGGGTGCTGCCATGCTCGGTCCTGGTTTCTGTTATATCATTAATTTATATCTTTATACTCCTAAGTAAAGCATAGTGTGTATAGATAATAATTGCAGATGAGCTAGTGGTCTTGTTTTTTATCTTTTTTTGTAATTTTGTCTTTTTATCTTCTCCGGAGCCCAGACTCAATCCCAGGGCCTTGCGCTTGCTCTACTACTGAGCTAAATCCTCAGCCCTTATAGATGAGTCAGACTTGTGCCAAAATCTCAGCTAGGTTCATGATAAGAAAGTCTTGGTAGGTAACTCAGATGATATTGATGAGAGAATTGGTTTCCTTTGAAAAACCTGGGTAAACTGAGCATAGTGGCACACACATGTAATACCAGAAGTTAGGAGGTAGAGGCAAGAGGATTGGGAGCTCAAGGCCAGCCTCAGCTACAGGAGACCCTGCCTCAGAAAACCTGGGAATGGGTGAGTTGGTGTCCTTTCCTGGCTACTGAATTTGTGAGAAAAGCAAACTATACCTCTAGAACCTGTTTTATTTTGTATTATTATTTATTTTATATGTTAATTATTTATTGTATGTATGCATGTATGTATGGTGTGTGCATGATGTATCTGTATGAATGTTTAAATATGTGTTTCTTTCTTCCCATAGATACTCTTCTCATTGACTATCAGTTCACTTTTAGCCTGTCACAGGAAGATGACCGCTATTACACAGCCATCAATTTTGTGGCTACTCCTGATGAAGTAAGCTTTTCTTTTAAGTTGTCTTATTTTGTATTGAATTTGTATGGATCCTTTTCTTGGTTATCCTGGAAGAAGTAATGCCTTAGCACCAGTCTCAGGGTGGAGTACACAAGGCAAATGTTTTTAAAACAATTTTTTCCATTTATTCTTTGACAGTTTCATACATGTATATAATGTATGTTGGGGATATTCATCCTCTGTTACCCTCTCTTATCTCTCTTCCACTTCCATTGAACCATTGAACCTCTTCTTCTTCCCAATAAGTTACATTCCCCCTCTCTCCTACTTGTATACCTTTATATCTGTGTGTGTGACCCATTGGGTTTAGTTTACTGTTGATTATAAGAGCCTGGGTAAGGGGTTATTTACTGGAGCATTGGCAATTTATCAATGGCTACATTTCTGAAAATGACTCCTCCTCCCTGAGCAACTGTTAACAGCCAGTAGCTCTTCAAAGAATAAGGTAATCCTCAGTCACTTAAAAGAAATGTTAAGAGTTTTGGGGGTTTTTTGTTTGTTTTTGTTTTTTTGTTTTCTTATTTCCACTTTACAGGCAAGGAGGGTGTTAAAAGATTTACCAGAGTCTGATACATAGACTGACATTGTACACACTTAGTTTGTGCCTCACTGGCCCATATAGGGGAGATTACAAAAGGGCTGCATCAGCAGTACACAAGAGATCAAGTGGCAGAGCCCAGATTTACTCTCCCAAAATAGCCCAGACACTTAAAAATTGCCTGCAAAGAAATTGCTGACTTAAATTAATGCCAGTCATATAAGCATAGTAGGACAGTAAGGCAAATGAGAGAGGTATCACTTTTGAAGGGCCTCTTTTCCTCTTTAGGAAGAAAACAGTGAAGATTTAGTTGTGTTCAGCAGTTGGCCAGAAATACTTTAAATGGTTACTATTTGAAATATAGATTTATCTGTTATTATTAATGACGATGCCCAGTCTGACATTTAAAATCAAAGCATCAAGAACATGAATGCATGTTAATGTGTTAATGTCTTTCTTAATTTCTTGCTACTGGAGACCAAATCCTGCTTATGGTACAAACATGAGTGCTTCTATTATGCTGTACACCCAGCCCAATTTCCTGAATGAAATATAAAGTCATTCAGTATCTCTTCTTATACTTCCAGGAAATTTTACTAAACTTGGGGGCCTCCTTAGAGGTTTTGTATTTCTTATATCAACCTAATGAATGAATCTTTTAAGTTTCACAAGCCTTCAGAATCTAACAATTCTTCCTCTTCCCTCCAGGAGGGAAGGTTTCAATTTTAAGAAAACAGCAGCCACATGATGAATGTTAATCAATAAACATTACCATTACGGAATTATTTTTTAAGTAGTAGAATAATGTCCATGGTGTTGTGTTTATAATTGAATTAAGAATTCTGGCTGGGCATGGTGGTGCACACCTTTAATCCCAGCACTTGGAGGTAGAGGCAGGTGGAGCTTTGTGAGATCGAGGCCATCCTCATTTCCATAGCAAGTTCAGGCTAACTGACTATAGGGAGACCCTATCTCAAAAAGACCAAAAAAAGAAAAGGAGGAGGGAGGAGGGGAGAATTTGTTTCTGAAGCCAGGCATAATAGCACATGCCTTTAATCTCAGCACTTGAGAGGCAGAGGTGGATCTGTGAGTTCAAGGCCAGTCAGAGCTACATAGTAAGACCCTGTCTGAGGGAAAAAAATGCTTCTGATTGTAAAATTAAGAAATTATGGGGTAGAGAAGACATATTCTCAAGAGTGAACAGCCCTGGGGAGAGATGACTCTGTAATTAAGAACACTGGCTGCTCTTGCAGAGGACCCAGGTTCAGTTCCCAACACCTACATGGTGACTAACAACTATCCATAACTCCATTTCCAGGGGATTCAAAACCCTCTTTTGACCTCTGTGGGAGTTGCATGACACAGGTGCACTTACATACATGCAGGCAATACACTCATACACATAAAAATAGAAATAAATATTTTTTTTAAAAAGAGTGAAGTCATTTAAGTAAATATAAGTGACCTTAAATGAAAACTTTTTACGGAAAACCAGTATAGGTAAATGGCTCTGTTCACTGGAATTTCTGTATTTGTGTGCATGTGTAGGTGTGCATATATGTTCATGAAGTGTCATGTATGTGCACATATGTATACATGCTTGTACACATGGAGGCCAGAGGTCACATCAGGTGTTTTCTTCTGTTGCTCTTCACCTTATTTTTTGAAACAGGATACCTCAGTGAACCCATTTGGCTAGATTAGCTAGCTAGGCAAGTCCCAGGATACTCCTCTCTCCTCTCAAGCACCAGGATTACAAGTGAGCACTGCCACACCTGGCTTTTTGTGTGGGTGCTGTGAATCCAAACTCCGGTCTTCATGCTTGTGCAGCGAGCACTTCAGAAACTAAGCCATCTCCCTGGCACCTTAATTGAAATTTTTGGAAAGAATATTTTAGAATGAGGTTATAGCAAAGTACCACAAATGAAATTTATTTGCCTTAGTCATAGACAGATTGACAGCTCAGTCTTTCAAGACGTAATTGATAGTGTTAATTTTGTTTGTTTGTTTGTTTGTTTTGAGCCAGGGTCTCATTGTGTAGCTCCAACGGGCCTGAAACTCAGTATGTAGACCAGACTAGTCTCAAATTCACTAGAGATCCACCTGCCTCTGCCTCTTTAGCTCTGGGATTAAAGGCATTTGCCACCATGCCCAGCCTAATTTTATTTTTTAAAATAAACAATCCACCAGATGTGGTGACTGCATGCCTGGAATCCCAGCCCTTACAAGGTGGAGGTAGGCATATTGGGAGTATGTAAGGCCAAGTATATAATATAAGGCCAACCTGATCTACATAATAGGTTGATGCCAGCCTGGGCCATATGAGACTCTGTCTCAAAACAAACAAACAAAAGCTGGAAAGATGGCCTAACCATTAAGAGCACAGGCTGCTCTTACAGAGTACCCACATGATGGCTCTGTCACCCTCTTCTGGCCTCTACAGGTACTGCACACACACACACATCAGGTACACACATACATATAGGCAAAACACATATACATAAAATAAAAATAAAATCTTTTAAAAATCATGAATGACTATAAATTATGTCTTAAATTTAGTATATTTGATCTATGTAAAATTTTTTAATTCATTTCCTATTTGGGAACAGCTGCTTAGAGGATGCTGGAGTCTATTCCTCTGACCTAGTCAGAAAGTGTACATTGTGCTGATGAGGATCTTTTTTCAAAAGCACTTTTCCATGAAGAGTGGCATCTGGTAAAGCACTGGATTCCATATACTTTTATGGGAGGAAAATGAATTTTTGTCTGCACTATATTGCCTATGTTGAAGAAAATAGACAAATTTTGCTAACTTTTATATAAGCATAATTTTCTCTTGAGATATTGTGTGTTCTATAATTAAAACAGTTGAAAATAATAAGACCCAATTGTTGCTATATTTTAAAATCTTCAAAGTATTATAATTTTCTAATTATTTGAAACTTTATCAGCAAAACAGGGATTTGGACATGTTCATCAATGCCTCCAAAAACTTCAACCTCAATATCACGTGGGCTGCCAGCTTCTCAGGTAAAGACATACTCAGAAAAAACATTGAAAGTAGAAAACATTGCAAGTAGAAATGATGGATTCGGAAATATAGTGTAGCAGTTGAGGAAGTGGGATCTGGGAAAGATGATGAGTCTAAAGTTCACCTAAGCCACTCACTTATTAGCCATATCACTTTAAACATGTATCTGAACCTTCTCCCTATATTTTGGGATTTCTCATGTAAAGTGGATGTACTTAACTTCAACAGCATTGGTTCAGGTTGTTAGGTGGTTACTACTACCTAACTAATTACTGCCGCCAATTATATCCTTTCTTTGGCCACACTTCTGACACTACTATCATCATCTACATCCATGCTTTGGAGGTGAAAATTCAAATGACTCATAGTTTCAAGAAATGAAAACTTTTTAAATAAAATGAGATTTTAGTAGGTATAGAAAAACCATACTTTAGGAATTAAACTAAGTTCTAAAAGCACAGCTATTCCTTTTTTGTTTCTCTCATTAAAGCTCTCATGACCCCAGTGTAGTGATTAAGACAGACAATTTAAGATTATATAATTTGATAACTCTGAAGATAGACCTGGGTTTGAATTTACCTGCATTGTGTTACCTAAGTTTCTGATCCTGTTTCCTTCTGTATAAAATGGGAGAGTAAAATTACCTTGCTTATGCACAAGGGTATCCAACCTTTATATATATAATGTATTTTATATACATATATATATATATAATTTTTATTTTATGAGTGTTTTGTCTATATGTATGTAAGTGCACCCATGTTGTGCAGTACCCAAGGAGGTCAGAAGAAGGGTGTTGGATCCCTTGGGACTGGAGTTACAAATGATTGTTAGCTGCTATGTGGGTGCTGTGACCCAAACCTAAGTCCTCTGCAAAAGCAACCAGTGCTCTTAACCACTGAGCCATCTCTCCAGCCCCATATCCAACCTTTTTACATTGCATCATGACTTCACCTACAGATGTGTTGGGATATATTCATAACTATCCTGTGCATCCGGCCTGAGGATTACATGTTGGACATGCCTGAATTATAGTGTTGCAAGAAATAAATAAGGAAGGGAATATTCCTTATAGTGCTTGAAATTTAGCTCACACATGGGGAAAATACTATTTTTTGAGTCTTTATACATACTCATGTTCCTGGCCGGAGGAGAATATTGGAACATGGTAGGACCGTCTGAAAATAGAGTTGTACTAGGTAGGGTCTTAAATACAGTAGTAGCTGTTAGCAGAAGGAAGGGCTGAATGACCTCTTGAGTACCTCTTTTTCCTGTTGAGACTCGAGGACATTGCTGATTAGGAAGTGAGTGACTAAGGGTCTCTGGGAGCATTGTCATATTTCACACTGTGAAGAAATGCAAAGGAATTGGAGTGTTGTGTATAGAGTGAGCGCTGGTGCCTCTTCATAGAACTCTGGTGATAGTTTCATGACCATGGGTTGCCAGTTTCAGTGGGGGGTGGTATGGTTCCTGGGAAAACCATTTTGGTTTGGGGCACAGGTTTGTGCATCAGCATAGGCTCAAATCCCAATTCCACTCCTTCCTGCCCATCAAATCTGAGGCAAGTTACTTAGTAAGTTCTTATAACTTCCGTTTTTCTGTCTATAAATGAAGATAGGAGGGTGTTGTGAGGATTAGAGACTAAGCTCTTAAAGGCTATTCCCGGGACATGGCAAAGTTCAATAAACTCTTAACTTCATTAGCAATGAGGGAAGATTCTTTCTGTCCATCCTGTCCTACTCTACCCCACTGCCTCCACTATCTACCCCCACCTGCAAAAAAAAAAAAAAAAAAAAAAGGTATCTTTATTTTCATTATTTTCTTCCTAATAGCTGGAACCCAGGCTGGAGAAGAGATGCCTGTTGTTTCAAAAACCAACATCAAGGAATACAAAGATAGCTTCTCTAATGAGAAATTTGATTTTCGCAACCATCCAAACATTACGTTCTTTGTTTATGTCAGTAATTTCACCTGGCCCATCAAAATTCAGGTAAGAAGTGCTTTTTAGCTTAATTCATACAAAGTTGTGAAATCTCTTTAATGAAAACTAAATTCACTAATTTGAAACTTGTGGTAAATGAAATGTACAATGTTGCTTTGCCTTTAAAAGGATCTTGGCAAAGGAATGTCAAGTAGCACATGACTACTGTGAAGAATGTTGTTCTAGGGGCTAGGGAGATGGCTCAGTAAATAGAGTGCTTGCTGCACAACCACGAAGACTTGAGTTTGGATCCCCAGCACCTGCATAAAAAGGAAGGCATGGGAGCATGCACCTCTAACCCCTCCCTGCAAAGGAGGTGATAGGAAGACACAGAGTCTTGCCAGCTGTCCGGTCTAGCTGAATCAGTTAGCTCCAGGTTCAGTGACACTGTCCCAAAAAATAAGGTGGAGAGTGATTAAGCAAGACACCCAACATAACCTCTGGCCTCTATATGCATGTGCATACACATAGACCCTCAAACATGTGTACACATACTGGAACATATGTGCTTTATACTGTGTACAAAATATAAAAAAGAATATTCTTCTGGGGATGTCGTATATCACTTAGGAAGGAGATGCCATGTAAAAACATGCATCTTGTAGTTGAACAGGGATCGGTTTAATTTTTGGATCCTATGCAAATCATGGAGCCTCTTCAAGTTGCAGGTTCTTTGTGCATATGATCTGAAAGGTAGTTATGAGGATTGGTATTACCTGTGACCTTTTTTTCAACCTTTTTTCTTCCATTCCAGGAAGCCAATGTGCTCCTTCCCATCTAAGACTCATGGCCCCCACTTGAGCTTTTACTGATCATATTCTCTGAGCTCTTGCCTCATAAGTCCCTGTTCTTTATTTGCTTCACTTTGGGTGAATGTGGAGGTCAAGGAAGTATAGCGGCTTAACTGGGCTTTTGCATGATCAGCTTCAGGAGCAAGGTCAATACTGATTCACTAGGATGGGTTTGAAACCTAGTTCTGGTAGTTATATCTTCATGCCCTGGGACTTTGACTGAAGACAGGAGCTGTGTTGTTTTTTTCTCACCGCCCTCTCCTTTTCCTGTCTAGGCGATCTACAAGCATGTTCATCTTCTGAGCTGCTTCTTTCTTTGCTCTTGCACACTTTGTTTCCCTCCTCTGCCAGTCTTATAAGCAAGGGCCACACTCCCTTTTCCTATTTCCTTTTATCTCTTCATTAGCCTGCAAGAGTATAGTTTCTTCCCTTATCATACTGGGGAACCGTGCTGTCACAGACAGCCCACTTGAGTCACTACATTGTTTCTTCCTTCTTTTCTTTCCTTATTTCCTGGTCAGTCATATTGGGAACTCTCTTCCTTAAACACTAGGGTAGCATACAACTCTGGCCTTGGTCCTCTTGCTTCATTCTACACTGATTCCCTGGTGATTTCCCCCACTTAGGTGTGCTAGTTGTGCTGCTGCTTCTCGGTGCTGTCTTCAGCCCAGCTTCAATGTGAAGCCCTACCTGGATAGTCACAAACTTCCTGTGCTCAGTGCATAATCATTCTTATGACCTAGATCCAAAGTCCTGCACCTCCCTTCTCAGTGAATACCAGTACCAGTCCCCCTATTGCACAAGCCAGGGCCCATTTATATTCTTGGTATAAATTCTGTTTGCTCGTTATATATTATTTCTTAATTTATACATTACTGTATTCAGTTTACTAATGTCTCAGTTTGATTTTGCATCCATCCGTAACAATGTCCAATAATTTTCCTTTCCTGTCCTTATTATAGTTTTGGTATCAAGGCTAAATTAAACTAACCTTTTTTAACATTTTATTTAATTTGTGTATGTGTGTTTTTATGTGTACACATGCATACCACAGTATGTGTGTGAAAGTCAAAAGACAACTTGGGGGAATCATTCTCTCCTTCCATCTTGAGAGTCCCAGGGACCAAACTCAGGTTATCAGGCTTGGTGGCAAGTACTTTAACTGGCTGAGCCATCTTATCAGCCCAAACTAAACTTTAATAATTACAATTTGAAGGATTTTTTTCCTTTTCATCTCTTGAGGAGATTAAAATTACCTAAATATAGAGTACTCGATAAGTCATTTGATTCTAGCATTTTATTTTGTTTTTTTTTTAATATTTTAAGTTTTTAATTGGATTTTTGTGAAGTTCATACAATATATTTTGATCATACTTATCTCTACTCCCCTATTGCACCCCTCTTATAGCCTCCTGCTGGATTTCATGTACTCTGTCATATATGTTATGGCCTATTAAGTCAAGTTTATATCTCCTTCAGTGTGCCTGGTTAACCTGTCTAGCACCACACCCTTAAAGAAAGCCAACTCTTCCTCTCCCAGTAGTTTTTGGTTGCCAGTAGTTCCTTAACTAAAGTTAGGGCTTTTTACCCACTTACTCAGTTCTGTGCTGGATTTTTGTCTGGCTTGAGCATTTGTGGGTCTTGTGCACGCTGTTACCCTTGCTGTTAAGTTTATATAAATAACTTTCCAGCTATCTGGAAAGCTCTGTTTTCTTGTGGTCATGAACTACCTCTGGCTCTTACAATGTTTCTGTCCCCTCTTCCACAATGATCTCTGAGCCTTGGGTGGCAGATGTTTGATACAGGTGTCCTATTCAAGGATAAGCACTCTTCAGTTTCTGAATCTATGCACCTGCCCGTTGTTGCTTTCTGGGTTAATTGCTCTGTTGCCAGAGGAAACTCCACTTGTGAGAGTTGAGAGGTGCATTAATATTCTTTCGTCCCACTATTCCACTGTGTTCCCTGAGCCTTAGGTGTAGAGATTGGATTATAGATGTGTCACTTAGGACTGGGCACCTCACAGACACTTATTCTCTGTGTTTGACCAGTTGTGGGACTTTGTAATAGTCTCTATTTGTTGCAAAAAGAAGCTTCTTTGATGAGTGGTAAGAGGTATACTTGTCTGTAAATATAAGGAGACATATTTAGAATACAGTAAGAAATGACAATGGTCTAGGGATGTGACAAAGATAGGCTTTTCTCTAGGATCTATGACCTCTCCAGTCATGTGTATTTGGCTATGTTTATAAGGACCACCGTAAGTTCCCTCCCATTGAGTGGGCCTTAATCCAATTAGACAGCTGTTGTTTACCCCCAAGATGAAACACTGCTGCAGTAGAGGTTCTTCACTGTGCCAGTCGTTGTGGTCCATAGACTTTCCAGCTGGATTGGAACACTGAATAGTTCTCTCGGCAGTTTGCATAGTATCTTCTGATACTGTGGGAGTTAGTCTTAAGGGAGGAGGCTTTCAGGTCAGTTCCAGCTCAGTTGCTCCAAGTTCTGTATCCTGTCTTTAGCAAAACCTGTAAGTTTGGGGAGACTATCAAGAGCTGTGGCAATAGCCTGTGTTATTTTGGGAATCTCTTGGACTACCCTGACCAATAAGTCAAAGGGTGGTTTTCCCTGCCTAGCACTGTGTTTTTTGTTATATACCTTTCAGCTCTACAAACGTGTGTGTGTGTATACATAAACATGTAATGTGTGTTTTTCAGTAGGCTTTTGAACTAATACATTTCCCTCTTGTTTTTCACACCGCCTAAGCATTATTTATTTTTTCTCTCTCTCCCCCTGTATAGCCCTCCCTATTCCCTTCTAAGTTAAAGTATCCCCCATTTTCCACTTGAAAATACCCATCTCCTATTATCTCCCTTTCTTGAGCTTCTTCTTCACATTTATCCCCAGGGTTCTTTCCATTTTCCTGGTTCCTGCAGTTACATCAGGATATATACTCACATCTAAGGATTTGGAGCTAGGATCCATAAATGAGAGAGAACAAATGTCCCTTGTTTTTCTAAGTCTGTGTTACTTCACTTAGTATAACATTTTCCAGTTCCATCTGTTTACCTACAAATTTCGTGATTTTGTTTTTCCTTACCACTGAATACAACTCCATTATGTAAATGTACTTCATTTTCATTATCCATTCATCGGCTGAGAGATATTTTGTTTCCATTTCCTATCTATTGTGAATAAAGCAGCAACATGGCTGAGCAAGTAGGATATTGAGTCTTTGGGTATATGCCAAGGAGTGGTATAACCAGATCATATGGTAGATTTATTTTTTGTTTTTTAAGAGTTCTCTGCACTGATTTCCACAGTGGTTGCACCAGTTTGCAATTCCACCAGCAGTGGTTGAGCTCGTTCCCTTTTCCCTGAATCGATGCAAACGTTGGTGTCATTTGTTCTCTTGATCTTAGCCATTCTGACCGACTAGGGGAAGAGGAAATCTTTTTTTTTTTTTAAGTTTTATTTATTTTTATTTTATGTGTATGCGTGTATTGCCTGCATGTAGGTAAGTGCACTCGTGTCGTGCAATGCCTGCGGAGGACAGAAGAGGCTGTCAGATCCCCTGGAACTGGAGTTACGGACAGTTGTTAGCTGCCATGTGGGTGCTGGGATTCGACCCCAGGTCTTCTGCAAGAACAACCAGTGTTCTTAACTGCTCCAGCCCTGGAGCAGTTAAAATTAAAGTACTTTTAATTTGCATTCCCCTAATTACTAAGAACGTTGAACACTTTTTAAGGTATTTCTCAAGCCCTTTTTGTTTCTTCTTTTGAGAACTCTGTTCAGACCCACAGCCCATTTTTTTAACTGGGTCATTTGTATTCTTCATTCTTTCTTTTTTGAGTTCTTTGTGTATTCTGGATATTAATTCTCTGTAAAGACGTGTAGCTAGTAAAGATTTTCTCCCACTCTTTGGGCTTCCTTATCACTCGATTGATTGTTTCATTTGCTATAGAGAAACTTTTTAGTTTAATTTACTTGTCAGTTGTTGACCTTAATTCCTGAGTGACTGAAGTCCGATTTAATAAGTCCTTTTTTGCACCTACATCTTGTAGGGTACTGCCTATGTTTTCGTCTAACAGTTTTAGCATTTCAGGTTTCACACTGAGATCTTTGATCTATTTGGAGGTGTCTTAGTTTGTTTCTTCATTGCTGTGATAAAATACTCTGACTGATACCAACTTGGGGAGGAAATGCTTTATTTACCTTACATTT